CCCCCCCCGATTTACATAAGATAAGGGGACATATCTGGATAACTTCTCCCAGTCGCCAGCTGCTGGTCAAACAGCCGTAAAATCCAGTTAAGTCCTCTACAAAACGGCATTAACGGGAGGAGAAGAAGAAGAAGAAGAAGACGGTGGGCGGCCATCTTGGCTCAGAACCTGGAGTGGAAACATCTGTCCAGCTGTGGGGACAGACGCGAATTAAGCCGTCTATTTCCAGTCGGCGTCCTCGGGTCCGCGTCTCCGTTTTAGAGATTAAGCCCTTAAGTCCTGTTAGGGAGTCTGCTCAGTTCTAGGCCAATAAGGCTTTGATTTGGGCTTCCTCCCCAAACCGGAGAAGGGAGGACTCAACCTCTCCTGACCCACATGGAGACCGGCTCCGGACCACGTTCAGGCCTTCAGTTTGGGTTTTTTCTGGGTTTTTTCGTAGTGAAATTGACCTACAATGTGAAGTGTGTCAACACCAACAATATCCAGACCTACTTTGGAGAGAACTGGCAGCAGCTCGGCCGCGTAAACTGGGAATAAATCTAATTAATAATCTGTCTTTATGCTCATGTTTGGCTAAAATTCGATGTGAGGTGGAACCAGAAAGTCAACACATATAATCTGGATATTTTACCAAAAGAGGGAGAGGAAATGGAGGGAACCAGTTCCCATATCCAGTGGCAAATGGCTATATAACAGCCATTTTTATATATAAAAATAATAATATCACATTATTTTGGAAGCTACATCGTTTTACAATTATTTTTACATTATCTCCAACCTCCAGCTACAGGAAGCAGATAATCACATGACCTCATATCCCGTTCTTTCAAAATAAGAGCGGTAATTTAGAGGGAAGTCACAAAACAAGCTAATTTCTGCACCTATAGAGATGTTTTTCTCAAATATCTGATTCTTTTCTTAGTCCTGGACAGACCCCAGTAGTCCTGGACAGACCCCTCTAGTCCTGGACAGACCCCTCTAGTCCTGGACAGACCCCACTAGTCCCGGACAGACCCCTCTAGTCCCGGACAGACCCCTCTAGTCCTGGACAGACCCCA